AACTTGGTCCTCCTATCAATCAATCCTTCTTGACTTTGCCATTCTCTAAACCGCCTCTCAGTTATGGGTTATGATTATAATCTTACATTGGATGACCAAAGCAATCTTCGAAGCTGTTGATGAAATTGAACTAAATATATCTCTTTCTGTGTGGAATAGGGCCTTCCCCCGAGGCATTTAACGATGGCAATTTAGCAATAGCCCACTCTAAGCGGTTTACAGATCCAGCCTTTTGCCCCCAACAATCTGGGTCCTCAGTTTACCCACCTCGGAAGAATGGAAGGCTGAGTCAACCTTGAGCCTTTCTCCCTAGGATGAAGGATGTCCCAAGCCCCTCTTATTTCATCCTTAAGACTGAAGCCAGTTCTGTTGTGTTTGGGTTCAGTCAGAGCAGTTAACCAGATCAGCTAAATAATTGCTAAATTTTTATATACAACATGCTAAGCTTGGTTAATTTTACATTTGGCTGTATTATTATTTTTTTTAAAAAACCAGGTTGGTTTAGCTTGTGCAGATCCAGCTCAGTTAACTGATAACTATGTGTCAATGTGTTATGCAAACCTCTCTCAAATGGATTTAATAACTCGATTGTATGACTCTAACTTCTAGTTAGCCCCATAATTCCATTCTTCATTTGTATCTGGCCTGTCCTAAAGCCCAGCCCCTTTCAAGGACCACAAGGCCATGCACGCTGTCCCTACTTTTAAGTCTTTTATGTTTCCACCTAAAGAATTCCATGTGCTGAAAGACTAGGTAGCGCCTGGAAAAGGAGATTAGGTAGGGCCTCTGCCCCACATCCTACTTCTGTCCTTTTCCAGACCTTGCAAAAGGAGATTTAGGGGTCAAGGCACTACACAGTTGTTTGATTACTCTGTTAAAGTTGAATGCAGGGACATGGCTTAAATTGGGTTAGACTGTTGAGATCTGGCTTTTGGGATGAAGATAACATTAGCGTACTGATAACTGTTTTGTTACTAGAGCAACCTCTGAATATAAAGCTGATATTTGCTGGCTGCATTACATTCTCCCCAGGATAGTGGGGAGTTACAGACTGAGGGCAGTTACTGCTGGTGGTCTTGTTTGAAGTAAATCTGAAGGGGGAAAAAAATAGGACCTCCAGTAAAATTGACTGAATTTATCTGAGAATCATTTTCTTAATGGTGTAGTACTTCTTTCAACGAGTGTACTCAGCATTGTTTTACTCTGTGTACTGTATATCTCCCGCAGTGTGAGCATGGGTATGTGGGAAGGGTAGGGAGGGACAGAATGCGTAAGTAGACAATTCTTTGTAGAAATGTCTGGATATGAAGGAAGCAAACTATCAGTTCAAAATGGCCTGAAATGGGAAGGAAATGTGCAAAGAGACTTGTGGATTAGTAAGGAGTTGGGTGGGTGGGTGAGGAAAACCCCTAGCTTTGAGTTCCAGAGAATGAGGACAGCTGGGGCTTCAGCCACGGAGTGGAAATGAATGTGAGACCAGCTGACAGTATGTCTTCTTCCTGCAGGTTGCAGCCTCATCTTGATGAAGAGGAAGTAAGAAACCTGACACTGAGGGTGCTCTCTTACGGAGACCCATGTCGCCTCATTGTGCCCTATTCCTAGGGGCCTTCCAGGTACTGGGGCTTCCCCAAGGTCAAACGAATGATCTGTCATGCTGACAGGGATATCTCTTGTTGTTTGAGAGTTCTTTGCAGAGTCCTATCCCCCCCCCCTAGATGTTAAAACTCTCCTCTGTAGAATCTCCTGATGCTTTTTTGCCCAGAATCTGGCATTTGGCAGGGTCTTGTCTCTCCCTGCCATCCTGTGTCAGGTTCTCCCTGGCTATGTCTCCTGCCCCTCAAGCCTGGTCTTTTCTCCCTCAGCTACGTTCTTGTGTTATGAGTCAAATGACTTCAGCTGAAAACATTCCTTCGAGAAAGAAAGCAGCAGATCTGTTGGTTCCCGGGAGCTTCATGCATGCAAAATGCCTGGACCCCGCAGAGGAATAGGGACCTCCTTCCCACCCAATTACCCTTCACCAGGGGTGATTTCTGCAGTGGAAGCTGTTCATGCCTCTTGAACTGTTGGGGTAATAGCGTGCACCTTCTCCTCTTGGAGACAAGAGCTCGCCTTTCTAAAGCTTCTAACTCTTTTCTCTTTTTCCCCACAGTATGTCCTGGTTTAGTGGCATCCTGGTGCCCAAAGTGGACGAGCGGAAGACTGCTTGGGGGGAGCGCAATGGGCCCAAGCGCCATCGCCCAGCACTTTGCGGCCCACGCTACATGAGCTGCCTACAGGACCAAGAGCTGGAGCGCAGAGGCAGCGGGGCGCTGGCGTTGAACTGTTCTTGGCAGGAAGACCACTATGGCAGGAAACAACCGCCGTCGCTTCCGCCTGGTTCTGGAACCGGAGATTTGGGGCTCAAAGCTGTGGACCTGGGATTTGAGGATGGTGGCGGCATGGCGGTTGAGGCCAAGAGGCTGTCTGTCAGTGACTGCGGCTGGCACCTCCTGCAAGTGTTCCGCTCTAAGCGCTTCCGCTCAGCCAAGTTGGAGCGCCTCTACCAGCGCTACTTCTTCCAGATGAACCAGAGTTCGCTGACGGTGCTGATGGGCGTCTTGGTGCTAGCGTGTGGCATCATGCTGCTCTTCCACTGTGTGCCTGGCACTCCCTTTGTGTCCTACACCACTGCCCTTGCCGTGGCTGCTACCCTCTTCCTCTCCCTCATGGTCCTCTGCAACCGGACTGGCTTCCACCAGAACTGCATGTGGGTGGTGAGCTATCTGGTCATTGTGGCGCTGTGCGGAGTGCAGGCTTTGGGCACGCTTAAGGTCTCGCCACGGAGTGCCTCCGAGGGGGTCTGGTGGAGCATCTTCTTCATCTACATCATCTACACCCTTCTGCCCGTGCGCATGCGGGTGGCAGTGCTGGCTGGAGCCTTACTGTCCGTCCTTCACCTGGTGATTTCTTGGTACCAGAACAATACAGATTCCTTCGTTTGGAAGCAGGTATGGGGGAAAGTTGGGCTGAGGGAAGAGATGATGGAGCTTCTTGGCAATAAAGATCAATGCATAACTTGGTGGGTGGGACACAATAGAAACCCTGTGCAGTACTAATTGAAGATACTTTGTTGAAGGACAGCTAAATCCTTTGGTGTCGAAGGAAGACTGTAAAAGACTGGGTTGTCCAACGGTGGTAAAGACTTATTAAGGGGAGCAGGGAAGTGGCCCGGTCAGGAAATTGAAGTCCTCCCATCAAGCGAAATGAATGAATGAAGAATGAATGAGGCCCCTTGGATAATATGGGAGGGAGCAAGTTCTGTGACCTTTTTCTCCATCCCCACAATCGCTCCAATTGTGGATGCAGCTAAGTGGAATATGCATATCCTCAATTCCATTAAACATAGCTTGAGCTCTGGATTTTGGTGATGAATATGCTTGAGCTTGCTTTTCTTTACTGCTGTGCATTGTCTAGGTTCCTGATTTGATGCTAGCAGAAGTTTGCCTAGAAATCCATACGGCTGGAATTGGTGCTAGTGAGGTAGCTGTAGCGTTCACAGCATCTCTTATCTATTGTTCTGAAAATAGTGTTTTTTAAGCTAATGGCTGGACTGATCGAAGAGCCCATTTGAGTAAACCCATCATTTTGCTTTATCTCCTTTGCTATTACAATGAATTCCACGCACGTACCAATTTCTCCAGTTCCCGTCCATCCTGTTTCTCTCCCCATTGTTTTTAACAGTGCCACTCTCCCGATCTTATCTATATTCTGGATGAATGAAGAAATGTTTTAATAATGTGGGTGAGAAGAGACTGTAACGGGAGGGGGGGGGGGAGAAAGTCCATGTTGTTGAATGTTGCTGTAGGTCTAGACAGAAAATGCTTCTTGACCTGTTTCATATATTGGTGGGTGGTCTGGCAGCCCCCTCCCTAAGCCTTGCACCTGGGACATCGTTGTATTATCATCACTGGACCGTCAATTATGTGTAACCTGATTTAGGATAAAGCCCATTGGCTCTGTAGAGCATCAGATTATGGAAAGATGTTTTTGGTTGGTTCCGTATTACAGGTAATTCTTGACAAATGGGATGGGATGGGATAGAATAGAATGCTGAATGAAATTGAATGGAATAGAATAGAAAATAGAATAGAATAAAAATAGAATGGGATGGGATGGGATGGGACAGGACAGGACAGGATTGGATTCTTTATTGGCCAAGTGTAATTGGACACATAAGGAATTTGGTGCATACGCTCTCAGTGTACATAAGGAGAATAAAACACATTCATCAAGAATAAAAAGATACAATTGAGCCAACGTTTCTGTTGTTAAGCAAGATAGTTGCTGAGTTTAATTTTGCTCCACTTTACAGCTTTTCTTGTCATAGTACAATCGTTAAGTGAATCTGGCTTCCCTATTGACTTTGCTTCTCAAAGGTCGCAAACGGTGATCATGTGACCCTGGGATACGACAACCGTCATAAACACGAGCCAGTTACTAAGCATACGAATGTGGATCACATGGCCGGGGGGGAAGGCTGCAGTGGTTGTAATTGTGAAAAATGGGTCATAAGTCATTTTTCCCCAGTGCTATTCTAACTTCAAATAGCCATTAAACGATTGGTCGTAAGTCGAGGTAGTGAGTATTACTGTACTCAGTTGAATAAGAGACAGAATGTATTTTTCACTACGCACATCTGGATAGAAAATATAAAAGTTTAGCAAGATCTATGTTAACACGTAGTTGATCCCCTATTTGTGCTTTTGTTTCTTTTTTCTCCTAAAAAGCAGCAGCAACAGAATATTCCCCCTTTCTTTAGATAATTTATCGTTTTGGAGTCTGTCAAATTCAGTGAATGAAAGTTGCACAGGTACACCGCAATTAAGATGTTCTAAAACCACCTAACATTCTCCTTCAACACGAATCGTTGAACTTGTGGTGGCAAAGGCTAGGACAGCAATAATGCAATACTCAAACACATAATGTATGCGTAAAGAGGGAGAAGGTGGCAGGAAGGGAATGAGCCACAAGTGCGTGTGTGGGAGGCTGCACAGAACAATGATCTGATGCTCTTGTGATGACATACCTGTGTTGCTATACTGAGATGAGTTCTCAAAGACTTAAAAAAAAAACCCTGCAGATTTGTTCTCTCCTCTCCCCCTGCCCCCAAACAGATGAGCTCTGCGGTTTTTTCACTAGTTGCAAACGTAGGGTGTTTTTTTTTTAATATTCTGAGGATAGATAGTAAAATGCTTACTTATTAATCAGATATTGTAACAGGGAACGGGTGGGGAGGGGGTCCTGCAAAATGTTCACCTTCTTACCCAAACTCCCCTTTATCCCTCTGCCCCCTTGTAAAATGAACTAATAAAATGTAAGATTTCAGTATTATTCCTTTCCTTCTGATCCTAGGGCAGGAATGCTTCCTTACTGGAAGCAAAGGCCAATCCAACCTGCTCCCAATGACCCTCCCTTAGGCCCAGCTGGTAAATAGAGTAAATGTTTCTGAAGAGGCTAGGTATCTGGAAAGGGTCAACCCGAGATCATCAAAGCATTCCTACATCTTTCAGGGCCTTAAGTATAGTATTTATTGAAATATGCTGTGGAACGTAGAAAGAACCTAACTCTTTCACAGGCAAACCAACAGGACTGATCCCTCTGGGGTTACTGACATGATTACTCCAGTGTTGCACATTGCTAGCTGGTTGGATGCAATAAAGTGTTTTGAGTTATGATTGTAAGCTAAGTGACAAATGAGTAGGGGTGAAAAAACAGAACAGCGTGGCATACATTGGAATAATAACATGTATGGATAGTGTATGGCAGACGGGTGGAGAAGAGAGAAACTGGCTTGCCTCTTTTCTTCAATTTCCCCAGTAGGAGTAGGGAAAGCTCAATTCCTCCCTCTTGAGAAGTTAGGAATTAAAATATCACAATCTTTTTTTGTTGTCCAGCAGAAATAAACTTGAGAAATATGTTAATTATAACCCAGGGGATCTTATCTAATGTTTATAAACTGTCCACAGTGCTGTTTCTGAAGACATGTACTGTATTAATCATTCAGAGATATGGCTGACTATTGCCATGGCTAAGGAAGTCTGAACTGAAGATGATGGAATGTAGCCAGTGTCACAATTATGGCCGTAATGAAGTTATCAGCTCGCTAAAAATTTGAACTATGGTGGCATGTATATGGGACCCGTGCTACCCTGCTACCATCTCTGTATTTCTTGTTTCCTTCCAAAGGAAATTTAAGGATGTAGCTAATTATATTGTTAATAATAATCATTATTTTTGTTCACAGAATAGTTACTTGTAGCTTGGATCTTGCACACCACACTTAACAAGATTACTTAAAAATATAGCAACTGTAGTTGTACAATTTTTAATCCCAGTTGTGGATTTGAGGGTGGTTGGTTTTTGCTGTTATGTTTTTTTGGGGGGGAGGGGGAGGCTTAACAATTCCATCTTATGTTGTGTTGCCTGTTTGGTTATCTTATGGTTCAGTGTGATGGTAAACTGGGAATGGGCGTAGTTTGGCAGCCCAATTAAGTTTGAGTCCCATGCTTCCAGCCACCATGTCTTGAGTTTGCTGCACAAGATACATCCAAACAGACTTTCTTCTTTGGTGCTTTGAATTATTGCAGATAGTTGTAATCTAAGATGTAGAAACTAGGTATATCCAGGTGTTCTTGAGCCAGATATCCCAGCAGCTGAATTCTGCATGGCCAGCAGTGAAATACTGGTTCGTCAACACCTTCTGAGCCCAGATTGCTTTCCTCTATTCCAATTCTTAATGGCAATCTAAATATCATTTAACAGTCTGGAGATTAGCAGATTTTGGAATCTGAACTAATTTATTCAAGATTCAGTTTCCACCTGTCAGAAATTCACAATGAAAAGAAGCATTTACCCGCCCTGTTGTTTGCAAGAGAGATGTTCATTTTGTCCATTGAGAACTGCAGACAAGATTAGTTTGCCTCAATAAAACTAGAGGCACTGTAGGATTTAATCTGTATTTTATATCAGGGTTCTCCAAAGTGGTCAGTATCGACCCCAAGCAGTTGTTATTGCTATTATTATTCATAGTACTATTAGTGTGGTATTTGTTAAAGTATTTTCATGTAATGTTTTGGAGGGAGAGGGGTTGATGAGCAATTTGAAATTTCATGAAGGGGTTGATGAGTTGAAGTGTTTAAGGGCCCCTAGTTTAGAGATATGTACTTAAGATCCCTACTACTAAAAACAGTTCTGGAAGATCCTTTCAGTACCTGGTTTACTTTAAAGTAAGATTGCTGGGGTTGGAGAGCCCATCATCTTAGATCAGAGATGTCAAACTCAATTTCATTCAGGGCCGCATCAGGGTTATAGAATAGAATAGAGTAACAGAGTTGGAAGGGACCTTGGAGGTCTTCTAATCCAACCCCTTAAACACTT